ATGACATGAAAGATTGCTGGCTTTTAGTGGGATCCAGGGCAGGAAGGCGCTCTGTGGCAGGCCCAGGCTGGAAGTGCTTCTCCCTCCTAGTCCATACAACACAACAGGCTGGATGGTGTCAGAGGTAGCAGTAGTGAGAAAGACATCATGAGGACTTCGTGAAAAGCCCCAGTGGGAAAATCACAATAGAATACTCTAAAGTTCTGGAATAAGGCCATTCTTTCTGCAGCAGAGATACATACATCTTTTGAAAAACAGCTCCTGGTATGGTAGAAATGGAGCGCCCAAAAATGGGATACTAAATGATCATGCCCCTATGATAATCCAGTATAAATTGGGCTCTGTGAAACTCTTCAAGTTGGCAGGCTCACCTGCAATTGTGGAAGCATGGAGGTGGTATATCAGGAATGAGCATGGATGGGGCCAGAGCTTACAGCAAAGTGCATGAGCAGGACTCACATGCCACACACCACTGCATGAGTACCTATACCCCAACTCTATAGCTTGGTACAGAGATTGGGAGATCTTTTATGATGAGCTCATGAATGAAGAAAAAGCCCGAGCTTGGTTCATGGTTGGGTCATCTCAAGATATGGATGCAAAGCAAACAGGGACTGCATGTCCATGTCACTCAGAGTTGGTACAGAAAAACAGTGATTTGGAAAGATAAGTGACCCAAGGTTAGAACGTGCCCAAACTTATGGCTGTGGAAAATAGCTTGACCATTTAGCTGACCGGGGCCAAGAATGAGGAAGTGTAGAAGATGGGTCAACTAGTCTAAGTCTATGACTTATAGGAGTAGGCATGAAGTATGTAAATATTTGCACTGCATGTTAGTGCCCACCATAGAGTATTTACCACTGAAAGGGAACTAAACCACCAAGTATACAAAATAGTCAGTTGACACCAGACAGCTTCTATCATTGGTCACCCCACTGCTCACACATGGGCATGCATGAGTTTTAGGTAGCTTACAGAATACCATTTTATGTGGCTTTGACAAATTCAATGATGCCTTGGTCAAAGGGCTGATGCAATGTAATTCGATTTGGAGGTAAAAGAAAAATACAGTGTTGGGGCTGGTGATGTGGAATAGTGGGTAAAGCTGCCCCCTTCAGTGCAGCACCCCACTGTGTAGTATTACATAGTGCACATATACCAAAATTTCTTTATCCCGTCTTCAGTTGATAGATATATGGGTTGATTCCATACCTTAGCTATTATAAATTGAGCTGTAATAAACACAGGGTACAGGTAACTCTTTCAAATGCTGATTTCATGTCCTTTAGGTAAATTCCAAGGAGTGGGATGGTTGGGTCATACGGTAGGTCTACAATCATATGAGCCAAAATTAATAATTATCAACTTACCTAATCTCCAATGGATCCAAAATTTCTTGAGGTTAAACCATATTTCCCATAGTAAGATACATTGAAGAATTCAGTAAAAGTTTATTAATTTGATTTTTCCCCCCCACAGGCAGTTAGTGAGAGAGAAAGACAGAGAGAAAGGTCTTCCTTCTGTTGGTTCACTCCCCAAATGGCCGCCATGGCCAGCACTGTGCCGATCTGAAGCCAGGAGCCAGGTGCTTCTTCCTGGTCTCCCATGAGGGTGCAGGGCCCAAGCACTTGGGCCATCCTCCACTGCCTTCCTGGGCCACAGCAGAGAGCTGGACTGGAAGAGGAGCAACCAGGACAGAATCCGGTGCCCCAACTGGGACTAGAATCTGGGGTACCGGCGCCGCAGGTGGAAGATTAGCCAAGTGAGCCACGGCGCTGACCTTAACTTGATTTTTGTAGGTAATACCTACTGATATGGTGTGATTTCAGGTACTATGTGATTGATAGAAATAACATTTTCTCTTTCTCTAATTTTGCCACCTCCCTCAACATTGGTGACTGCCTAAAAGTCCACCGTTTTACACCTTTGTCCCTTCACCTTGGAGATTTGCTTCAGTTGAATGAGGATATTCCTGAAAGATATTAAAGTAATTTACTATCAATTGGTTTACCCAAGCATGAGCACTTAACATTCAATCTTGAACCTTGATGCAACTTAGAAGTAAGGAAAATCAACAAGAGGACATTGGATACCAGTTAGGCCTCAAAGGTTGATGGGTAGGAGATATAAGAAGAAATATTCGTGGAAATTACTGCAAGTGTTATCAGCTTCAGCTATCTTGCACTGGAGGACAAGTTTTATGCTCAAAATGACCTTGTAGAAAGGTAAGCTCAAAGCAAATGATAGTAACTACAAATTTTGCCGATAAACATAATTTATTTTGACAGTATTTTTAAGGAAGAATAGCAAGCATGTTATAACAAACATATAGGATTCTGTGTTAAATTCAAATTGTAAGAAATGTCTAAGATCTTTTTGAGGCCATCTGATTCTTATATGCCCCTCTTATTTGCTCTCCTTCATCTCTTCAGGTTCCCTGAGCAGCCCTGGATGCTAAAAGCATTACATATGATCTGACATCTAATAGCTTTTCCTGGACATGCTCTAGATAAGAAATAAAGCATGGTGCTGGTGCTAAGGCACATTGGGTTACGATGTTGTCTCCAGTGCCAGCATCCCATGTGGGTGCTGGTTCAACTCCCAGATGCTCCATTTCTGATCCAGCTACCTGTGAAAGCAGCAGAAGCTGGCCCAAGTGCTTGGGCCCCTGCACTCATGTGGGAGGCCCAAAAGAAGTTCTTGGCAAATGGCTTTGGCCTGGCCCAGCCTTAGCCATTGAGACCATTTAGAGTGAACCAATAGATGGAAGGCCTCTCTGTCTCTGTCTGTCTGTCTCTCTCTCTCTCTCTCTCCCCCTCTCTCTCAATTCTTTCAAATGGAAAAATAAAATCTTAAGAAAATAGAAAGCATGTGCACAACACACACCTGGCTTTCTTTAGAAACTATTCTCATATAGAGACAGAGAAATGCAATGTAAAGAATTGTGTGCTAGAATCAGAAGACCTAGTTTAAAATCTCAGCATTTAAAAAACTGAATTCTTAGGCAAATCTACCTATACAGTAAGAATATACCTGTCCTATTCAAGAGTATTCTTTGAGGCTGGCGCCGCGGCTCACTAGGCTAATCCTCCGCCTTGCAATGCCAGCACACAGGGTTCTAGTCCCGGTCAGGGCGCCAGATTCTGTCCTCGTTGCCCCTCTCCAAGGCCAGCTCTCTGCTGTGGCCCGGGAGTGCAGTGGAGGATGGCCCAAGTGCTTGGGTCCTGCACCCGCATGGGAGACCAGGAGAAGCACCTGGCTCCTGCCTTCGGATCAGCGCGATGCGCCGGCCACAGCGCGCTGGCCGCGGCAGCCATTGGAGGGTTAACCAACGGCAAAGGAAGACCTTTCTCTCTGTCTCTCTCTTTCACTGTCCACTCTGCCTGTTAAAAAACAAAGAGTATTCTTTGAGAACTAAGTGAGATACGTGAGATACTGTATGTAAAAGCACTTTATAAACTAGAATGCAGTAATACCCAGGAAAGTTTAATTTTTATCACCTCTAAGCATATCTCATCATCCCTCTTCAGCTCATCATTCAAGGCCTACCACTCTCTCAGATCTAATTTCTTATGTCCTCTATCCAAATCATTTCTGGTTTCTTCCATATATCTAACATATTCCCCAAAATTCTTCAGTAATTACACCATCTTAGGCTTTTCCCTATTTCTTGTTTACTAGTCTTCTTTGCAGTCTGAATGTAGGCTCATTAGAAAAAAAGGCCACATCATATTCTGAAACCTGTGTTCTTTAGCTGAAAACATGACAAGTACCTACTGACAGGTACTTGACAAACTGTATTCCATATGTATTTTATCAAATACATATGGAAAAAAATATGTATAAAAGAGCAAAGGCCAAAGAATAGCCAAGACATTCCAGAAAGAAATAAAAATAAGTCAAGGAGACTTGCTCACCAGATGTCAAAACTGATAAATTACAATGATTGAGGTAAGGTTTACTGATACACAAAGCTAACCAGTGGAAGATAATAAAGCTAACCCTCAACAATGATAGGCATACATACAAATGAACGAACCTCAAAAGTGACATTGTGTATCACATGGAGAAAGATGAACCTTAAATGGTGGTGAGACAATGGCTACCAATATGAAAAAATTAAACTGGGTTCCTATCTCATACCAAGTATAAAAATCAGCTCTTGGTAGATAAAAGACTTCACTGGAAAAGACAGACTTAAATTTTTAGAAGTAATTATCTTTATGACTTTGGATAAGCAAAGACTCCCTAAAGAAGATGGGGAAAGTGCCAGCGTTTTTGAGAGTATGGAAATGTTTGCTACATTAAAATCAGTAAGTTTCATTCATCAAGACAAAGAAAATGAAAGGCCAGCCTATAAACTGAGAAGATGTATTTGCAGCACATCTGAAGAACCAAGACTTTGTATCCCAAACATACAGACAACAACACTGAAAAGACCACCCAATACCCTTGATGAGAACTTCAAGAGAGATGACGTTTTGGAGTTTGAGCCCTGCCAATCTGGAAGAGTTGGGGTGGGCTTGCTTCAAACAGGGGCTCTTCACAGATCTATCCTACAAAGCATAAACTAAATTCTGCACAAATTCAAGATGGCCATCCACTAATGTAACTTCCTGCTGGAACAAAAATATCACTCTTCAGATGAGGATAACAAGATCCGGAGTTTCTATAATAAAGCGGCAACAATTTCCAAGATACATTCCAAGACTATTAGACATGAAAAAAGCAAGACACTGTGCCCCAGAGATGGCACAGATGTCAGGTATAGCAGACAACATGAAGCAGCTATCAGTATATGTAAGGATCTACGGGGTATATGGTCTTCTTGAGTGAAAAGAGACTGTCAGCAGGGAAGGCGGTTTTTGATTTGCTTTGTTTCGTTTTTTAAATAGTAATTTTTTATTGGAAGACAAATATACAACTGGAGGCGAATTGTGCCACAAGAGATTTTCTTTAAGTGGTTAAACAAGGTTTCAAAAACAAATAATAGGCATGGTAGAGTGTGGTGCCCCCGCCGCCGCCTGCATCGCTGCCGCCGCCCCACGACGACCACCTCCGCCCCCTGCCCTGCATCCGCCGCTGCCGCCTCGGGACCGGCTGTATGATTAGGCCACAATTTTCAATGAGTAAACATATTCCTCAGTTCTGTGGTGTTCTTGGTCACACATTTATCGGGTTTCTGAAGGGCAGTGGAGACTACTGCCAGGCACAGCACGACCTCTATGCAGACAAGTGAACTGTAGAGATTCGTTACTACTCCACCAAGAAGCCCCCATAAAAGTGGTTAACCTGGACACAGAAGTGTTGGATTGAAATCCACAGAGCATTTTACAAGAGTTCTGACCTGGATGGGGTAAACCTCAGTGCACTTCCTTTCTATTGCCTCAGTATTACTGGATTGAAGAATTGCTGCTTCTTGTTAGGAGGTTCATTTCATTTCCCATTACTCCCAACTTCATACTTAAAGCACTGAGAATCACAAGTGGAAGATAGTGAAGTAGACTTCAGTTTCTTTGTGTAATTTCTGTATTTAGTTTTTTAAAATTCTTTCATAATCCTATTAAGTGTTTTTTAAGTAAATTAACATGGCCCGAATGAACCGCCCAGCTCCTGTGGAAGTCACGTACAAGAACATGAGATTTCTTATTACACATAATCCAACCAATGCAACGTTAAACAAATTTATTGAGGAACTTAAGAAATATGGAGTTACCACGATAGTAAGAGTATGTGAAGCAACTTATGACACTACTCTTGTGGAGAAAGAAGGCATCCATGTTCTTGATTGGCCTTTTGATGATGGTGCACCACCGTCCAACCAGATTGTTGACGACTGGTTAAGACTTGTAAAAATTAAGTTTCGTGAAGAACCTGGTTGTTGTATTGCTGTTCACTGTGTTGCAGGCCTTGGGAGAGCTCCAGTGCTTGTCGCCCTAGCATTAACTGAAGGTGGAATGAAATATGAAGATGCAGTACAGTTCATAAGACAAAAGCGGCGTGGAGCTTTTAACAGCAAACAACTTTTGTATTTGGAAAAATATCGTCCTAAGATGCGTCTGCGCTTCAAAGACTCCAATGGTCATAGAAACAACTGTTGCATTCAATAAAACTGGGTGCCTAATGCTATTGCCTTGGAAGAAGAACTTGAGACAGATCTAATTTGTCATACATATTAGCCAAAGGGTATTGAAAATTAGTTTTACCAGGCCACAAGTTTGACAGAATTGCAACCTCTATCTTTGGGTTATAACCAACTTATTTGGACATTTAGCAAAAGATTGTTGCTGTTTAGTATTTAAAATGTGCTTATCATTTGTACCAATTGACTTTTCCTGAAATCATGCAATATTGAGTTGTATCTTAAATCTATTCCCATGCCAGAATCTTATCAATACATAAGAAATTTAGAAAGGTTAGGTGTCAAAATACCCAGCACAATACTTGTATATTTTTAGTGTCATACAGAATTAAAATCCCAGGAACTATGAACACTCTAGACCTTATGTGGTTTATTCCTTCAGTCATTTCAAACATTGAAACTAGGGACTATATGGTTATTTGCCTGCTCACTTTATGTTTACATCTCCCACATTCATACCAGTATACATCAGGTTTGCTTAACCATTGATTTCTTTTTTTTTTTTAACCAAGTCTTATGATTATTTAATGTTTCTATAAATCTTTTGCTGTTAATATAAAACCTCCATTTTGAAAAATTACATTGTACAGAAGCACATGTCTTTAATGTCTTCAGACAAAAAAAGCCTTACAGTTAATTTAACGTTTGCACTCTGAGGTGCAGCTTAACAGGGAGGGCCTGAGAAAAGAATGGGAGGGGGCTATTATTATTTTTAGTAAAATGTTGCCTTTGTCTTGTGCATAACATGTAGAATATGCTCTTTAATTTAGTAAATATTTTTTAAAAGGTAGAGATGCTTTGTTATTGTAGCTTAAAATTCTTAATCATAAAATTTCTGAAATTCTTGTAATTTTTTCCATACTTATCAAAAGTTGTTTACCAACTTATTTTTGTTTGAGCTGTGATTTTTTTTTCCTTCCCAACCTCTTGCAAAAAAAAGTGGGTTTCTGCTAATGAATTGAGCAGACATCTAATATTTTATATGCCTTTTGAGCTGTGTAACTTAATATTTGAATACTTGATAATTTGTTTTATTATGTAATTGATAAAATGGTGATGTGTATTAATGTTAGTTCAACCATATATTTATACTGTCTGGGAATGTGTGGTTATATTTCTGTGGGAGAATAATTTGTCAGCGTTCACCAGCTTGTAAAAACTTAGTGCGAGAGCTTAAACATCTAAATAAATAATGAAATGCATTTATCATCAAAAAAAGCAAATAATAATAAAAGAAAATGTTTCTGGTACAGGACCAGCTGTACAAAAAAAAAGTGCGTAAGTATCTGGATAATACACACATTTGCAATAGTGCAACTTTTAAGTACATTTAGTGACTGCCCGTAGTCCAACAATAACGTGCTGACAGTTCCTAAAGAAAACTACTTTTTAAAAAAGGCATAACCCAGTTATTCCCTCACTTGACCAATTCCATCTAAGTCTAGATGTGCAGAGGGATAGCTCTATCCAGAGTAAGCCACATGCAACATGCTACTTGATCAGTTCCTAAAATAAGTTTTCAGGACAATGACAGCTACATAAGGGAAGAGCCGGCGCCATGGCTCACTAGGCTAATCCTCCACCTTGCGGCGCTGGCACACCGGGTTCTAGTCCAGGTCGGGGCACTGGATTCTGTCCCGGTTGCCCCTCTTCCAGGCCAGCTCTCTGCTGTGGCCAGGGAAGTGCAGTGGAGGATGGTCCAAGTGCTTGGGCCCTGCACCCCATGGGAGACCAGGAGAAGCACCTGGCTCCTGCCATCAGATCAGCGCGGTGTGCTGGCCACAGCGCGCCAGCCATGGCGGTCATTGTGGCCACTCACTGTCCACTCTGCCTGTCAAAAAAAAAAAAAAAAAAAGGAAGAAAACAGGGGCCAGCACTGTGCTCTGCCTGCAGTGCCGTCATCCCATACGAGTGCTGTTCAATCCTGGCTGCTTCACTTTTGATCCAGCTCCATGTGCCTGGGAATGCAGCAGAGGACAGCCCAAGTGCTTGGGCCCCTGTAACCGGTGGGAAATCTGCAAGAAGCTCCTGTCTCCTGGCTTTAGACTGACCCATCTCCAGCCATTGTGGCCATTTAGGATGTGGACCTGTGGATGGAAGAGATCTCTCTCTCCCTCCCTCCCTCCATGCCTCCCTCCCTCCCTCTGCCTTTCAAGTAAATAAAATAAATCTTTTTTGAAAAGATAAGGAAGAAAACATGAAGGAATTAAGTCCTAATTACCATACACACATATTTTTTGGCAGTAAAGGAAAACCTTTTACAGATAAATTACAAAGAAAAGCCAAATGAACAATTTTGCACATAAAATTTAACACATTGTGTACAATAGTTTACTTGACCATCATTGTCCATATCTACTTCCCTGATCATTTCATCAACTTCTTCACTTGTTTTCTTCCCTCCCTAGTGTGTTGTTACATGACAGAGCTCTGGTGCACGCATGGAGACATTGCCATCCTTATTAAACACACAGAACGCTTCTCCAGTTCCTTCTTCGCTGTTTCCATCCTTCACTTTTCTTGTCATCACTGTCTGAAGTTCAGGGAAGTCCACTGTGCCATTATCATCAGCATCTACTTCATTAATCATGTCCTGTAACTCTGTTTCTATGGGATTCTGCCCAAGGTGGCTCATTAGAGTTCCCAATTCTTTTGTTGTTATAGTTCTATCACTGTCCTTGTCAAGTACTGAAAAAGCTTTCTTTGAATTTTGTGATCTGTTCTTCAGTCATCTTGTCAGCCATGCTGCAAGTGCTACACATCCATACAACCATTTGGTATGCTTGCCCCAGTTGGGCTAATTCTCCTCCACTGCCCCCAGCACCTCATAAACACCTCCTCCAAGAAAACAGGTGTTTTTTTTTTAAATCCAAATGGAAATTATAAAACTAAGAAAGACTTTGAAGGGGCCAGCATTGTGGTGTAGAAGTTTGGGCCTCTGCCTGTAGGGCCAGCATCCTATATGGGCCCCAGTTCTAGTCCCAGCTGCTCCACTTCTAATCTAGCTCCCTGCTAGTGCACTTGGGAAAGCAGTGGAAGATGGTCCTGCACCAATATGGGAGACCTGGAAGAAGCTGCTGGTTACTGGCTTTGGATCAGCCCATCTCTGGCCATTATGGCCATTTGGGGAGTGAGCCACTAGATGAGATCTCTCTCTCTCTAGATATAGATATAGATATAGATATAGATATAGATATAGATATTTAAATAGCAACAACCTCAATTTTTACGAAATAAAGACATCAAAATGAAAAATTCATTGAATAGACCTGATGGAAGAGTTAGCAAACCTGAAGTCAGATCAACAAAAATTACCCATTTAAAAAGCAGAAAGGATAAAACTCAAGCAAGGTGAACTGAGCCTTAGAAATGTATAGGCCAATTATCAAAGTCTTACATACACATAAAGGAGGTCCCAGAAGAAGAATTAAAAATAGAAAATTCCTTGAGGAAAGAATGGCTAAAAGTATCCCAGATTTAAATGTAAAAATGGTAAACACAGGCTGAATAAATAAGAACAAAACCACACTTAGGTTAACTCTTAGTACATGCTTATCTAGATAAAGACAAAACCCTTAAAAATAGCATTGGAAAAATGAAACATTACATAAAGGAGATACTACTGATAAGAGCAACAGCTGACTTCTAATTTTAAACAATGGAGGCTTGAAGAAATTGGAACAAAATATTGAGAGAGTTGGAAGGAAACAACTTTATCTAACAGCACTAGCTTTCTGAAACAGGGATTAAAGAAGACATTTTCACATAAATAAAATCTGAGAGAAGCTGGTACAGTAGACCTGAATTAGAAGAAATGCTAAAGGATATTCTTCAGTATGAAGGGAAACAATACCAGCTGGAAATCTGGAACTATGGTAGTCCCTCCTCACCTGCTTTTTTTTTCCATCAGTTTCAGATGCCCATAGTCAACTATGGTCCAAAGATATGAAATAGAAAATCCCAGAAATAAACAATTCTTAAGTTTCAAATTATGTATCATTCTGAGTTATATAATGAAATCTCATGTCATCCTGTTTCATCCCACCCAGAACATGAATCATCACTTTGTCCAGTGTATTCACACTGTATACACTACCCACCTATTAGTTACTTCTTATCCATCTCAGTTATCAGATCAAATGTTGCAGAATCACAATGCTTGTGTTCAAGTAACCCTTATTTTATTCAATATTGAGCTCAAAGTGCAAGAGAAGTGATGCTGGCAATTTGGGATATGCCAAAGAGAAGCTATAAAGTGTTTTTAAGTGGAAAGATGAAATTTATTGACTAAATAAGCAAAAAAAATGTTTGCTGAGATTGTTAAGATTTATGGTAAGAATAAATCTTCTACCTGTGAAATTATAAACAAGGAAAAAGAAATTTGGATTGCTTTTGCTGTAGCACTGCAAACTATAGGAGTTATGGCCAATGTATGATAAGAGCTTAGTTACAATGCAAAAGACATAAAGCATTCAGGCTATACCAAGACCCCAACAAGGAGTCTCATGAAATAAGTGACATCAAACCATTTATCTCAAGGAACTGGACAGTTATCCAGATGTCTACCAATATAACCAAATCAAATATTATTTTCTTCCCTTTTTCATATTTATTCTGATGACTACTTAGCCTGTGACTAACTGGAATGCCTGCACAAATAGATAAATGATGCTTGCTGTGAATTCCAGAAACTGGCATTGAGAAAGTCAGCTGAAGTTGCAAAGTAATCTTGCCCTCCCTGGCCAGCATGACTGGTGGCTATGTGGTAACAGTGGCTGAGTAACTAAGGGCACAGTGAGCATGAGCTCTAGGCTGAGTGGCCTTTATCCTAATGAATGAAATGCTGGAAAGTCTCAGTACAAAACTTGGCCTCTTTCAGATCCCAACCAACATTTTGTAGCTGCTTAGTTTTACAGAACATTCTGCTATCCTTTCCCCATGACAAAGTCAAGCCATCAAGCAAGGAACTGTGCTGACTCCAAGATACTCTGTTAACAGACCCACAACTGCCTTCACATCTGATGCTGCAGCACAACCTCCAATGCAGCTCTTTTAAAACCCCAGACCATCCTTACCTGCAAGGACAGTAGTTCTTGAGATTGGTTGTCTGCTATTGCCCTCATCTGTTAACAGACTAAACTTTCTCTTTTCTTTATTCTTCAAATTTTGTCCTCATTATTTTAATTCAGCAGTAAGGAGAGGGACCAAGCTTGTGGTGACACCAACGAAGAAGTTTCTGTCACATTCCCAGATGACTTGAAGAAGCTGATCAAGGAGAAAAGATACTATCCAAAGCAAGTCTTCCACTGCAATGAGACTGGTCTCTTCTGGACAAAGATGACTAACAGAATCTACAGTCATTAAAGTACAAAGGAGGCACCAGGATAAAACGCACTGAAGAACAGATTAACTCTGGTACTATGTGACAATGCTACAGAGCATAGGATAAATTCAGGCGTGGTATACAGAGCAAAGAATCTATGCAATCTCAAAAATGAAACACAAAGTTATCTGCCCATTATGTTATCTGTTCCAAGAACATAATCAGAGATGGTGGTCATCTTGTTAGGGAATGGTTCTACCAATGCTTCATCCCAGAAGTGAAAAAAATGCTTGAAAGAGCAATGATTAGAATTTGAAGTACTGTTAAGATTAGACAACATACCTGACCATCCTAATCTATTTGGCATGAAAATTACAATGTCAAGATTGTATTTCTTTT